TGTCCTTGGGGTCGCAGGAGGAGTGGCAGCGATCGGCGTGGCCGCGCCTTGGCACTCATTCCCGCGGGCACGCCAGGGGTCAGCGCTGGCGGACTGGAAGGGGTCGTCTGCGCCTGCACTGCGACTGCGGTCATCGCCCTCACGCGGGCTGCCGCGCCGGCGTTGCCCAGTGCCAGCGCCACCAGAAGCTTTGCCAGCCTTGCCAGGCCGCCGAGACAGAGAGGCAGCGCCATCGGGCATCCCACCCGCAGGAGAGAAGCGGACGGGGAACGTGGGCGTCGAATGCTGGGGCCCAGATGGGCAGCACGAGTCTCAATTGGTGAGAGAGTCTTTGGCCTCAAAGCCCGAGCCCCCTCGCGCTCATCAGTCGCCGACCGAGGCCGACTCGCGGTCGTCGGGCGGTTCATAGCCTTGAGCCAAAATGGCTACGGAAACACAAACACATATATATATGTATACATTTATGTGTATATATATAGAGAGATAAACACAAGACTGCAGTGGCGCTTCGCGCCATGCACCTTGGTCCTTGAAGATTGGTATGCAGGCGGAAATGGCAGGAAGGTCAAGCGGACAATGTTGCGACAACTCCTTGCTGCCTTTTCTGGCATCGCTTTTATAACAATGTTGTTCGTTATCCCTCCTCCATGTTTATTTTTCCTCATTCTCGCCAAACCCTGGGAATTCTCCCCATCCTCCTCAGCTCTTTTTGCGGAGGCTCCTCCTTGGAGAGCCTCTGGGGTCCTCGCCAAAGTTCTCAGGCTTTCTTAAAAGCCTTCTGGAGGCCTCCTGGGCGTATTCTGGGGGCCTCTGGGGCTTGCTAAGGCCAACCTGCCTCTAACCGCAGTCTCCCTGAACGCCCTGGTCACGATTTGGAATGCTTCGGAGGGTGTCTTGGGGCCATCTTGGGCCGCCACGGGGCTCTCTTAGGGCCATTTTGGACACCTGTTGTGCCGTTCTGGGGCTCTCTTGGACTGCCTGGGAGCCCTTTCGGATGGTTGCGGGGCGATTTGGGGGCCTCCCAGGCGACTTCGGACGCCCAGAAGACCGCTGTCTTGGAGTGTCGGGAAACCGAAAAGAGGAGAACCCCAAATTCACCAAAACCCTACATTAAATCGATGATTATTCCCTCTCGGGGCCTTCTTGGGGGTGCTCTTGGAGGCCTCTTGGTACGTTTTGGAGCGATCTTTCGGGGTATGACGGCTTCTTGGAGCGCTCTTGTGCTGTCTTGGGTTTCTCTGGGACGTCTCCGATGACCCCCCTGATCGCCCTAGGTGTGCTGCGAAGGCTTGGCAAAACGCCCTGCGAGGCCCGTGGGGCCGCTTCGAACGAACGAACGAACGAACGCCGGATCCGCGCGCGCGCCGCATGGGCGCCCGCGCGCGCCCGTTAGGGCGTGGCGGTGGAGGCCGTGGCCTCGATATGGAAAATAACAACTCAATGCTGTGAAACATAAGTGGATTCATGTCTTCTCCACCAATCAGTATGCGCGGCAGCCCGAATCCATCGCAAGTCGTTGGTATTGTTGTGTTCGTGTTGTCGGGGAGCAGTCGCTGCCAAAATGTCCCCCTGCCCATCGCTGTCGTCGTCGTCGCAAGCACTCCCGTTTAAGGTATGTAGGAACTTCCGGATGTCATCCTCCCAACGTTTATGTTGGCCTCCATGCCGTCTCCACCCTTGTTGCTTAGCGTTGGTGTTTGGATCCCATCCTAGTGCTCGCTGTGTCCAGCGTGTCGCGGGGTGGTTCGCCACAGTGGTTGCCCATCGCCAAACCATCCGTCGTTGTATGTGTAGCACGTCGGGTATGTCGTGCTTGAGCATCATTGTTTCCGCAATCCGTGTGCTCCTCTGAATATATTCCGACCATGGCTCAATACCGTCGTCGGGCCCCGCTTCCGGCTGTGTCGCCTCTTCGCTGTCGTAGTCCTGAGGGTCGTCGTGGTCGGTAGGTGGGTTGCTGCATACGTCTGATTCGCTGGTGTCGTTGTCGGTCGTCACAGTGTCGCCGGTGTCGTGCCCATTGCTTTGGCTCGTCTCTGGGTTAGGGCGTGGTGTGGGTGAGGGTGTCGTCCGCCGACGTGGCGTTCCGATAATCATTCTGACCATTCGACGTTGTGTTCTGCGCAACTGTTGTTTGAGGGGTTCTGTTAGAGTCCACGTTTCGGCGCCATACGTCATTGTAGGTATTACGGTTCCTCTGTATAGTCGTAACCGGTTGCCCAGTGGATAATGTCTGCTGGTGAGCTCCTGTCGATAGCTACTGAAGCATGCCCACGCTGCACGAATGCGGTGTTTGAGTTCTGTCGCAATGGCGTCGTGAAATGTAATGGCCTGTCCCAGGTATTTGATAGTGCCGGTGTGTGGTAGCACTTCGATGTCCATGTCTGCGACTCTGACCAGGCGTGCGCGGTGGCGGGACTGGTTGGTCAGGACTTTGGTTTTGGTGGGGTGCAGTTCCAGACCGTGCGGCCTGGCTGAGGCGATCAGGTCGGAGAGCATGGCCTTCAAGTTGGGCAGCGATTGGCTGACCAACAAGATGTCGTCGGCGAAACGGAGATTCGTCAGTATTGATATATCCGTAACACCAAGTTGGACGCCCCGGTTGCGGCGCTGCCAGTCCTGGATGACCGGTTTCAGCACATGCTGCAGCAACGCGTTGAACAGTAGTGAACTCAAGGGGTCACCTTGTTTTGTACCGCGGCTGAGGTTGAAAGACTTGCTAGTAGCGTCAGTGCGGACCACAGCTGTCTGGTCGTGATACAGACGTCGTAGAAGATCCACATATCCAGAAGACACGCCTTGGTGAAGTAACGCTGTCCATAAACTGTCGTGCTCCACTGTGTCGAAAGCCTTTTTGAAATCCACCGCTGCGATCCATAATGTTTGATTCCATTCTGCTGCCCGCTCTCGCAAGATGTTGAACGTGAAGAGGTGGTCCCGCGTGCCCCGTCCGGGTCGGAAGCCGGCCTGGTCGTCAGGTTGTTGCTGATCCAGCGTAGGCAACAACCTGTTGTACAATAGGCGGCTGAAGAGCTTGTACAACATTGGCATTGTACAGATCGGGCGGTAATTCTGAGGATTCGTCAAATCACCCGCTTTGGGGATCACTGTGATGACAGTTTTTCTCCAATTTGCTGGTGTCGGAGCGTTCGGTTGTATGATCGTGTTGTACAGCTGCAACAATGCGTTCTCAAGCTCAGGGCCTGGCTGTCGGAGCATTTCAGACCGGATCCCTGTCGTGTCAGGGGCCTTGCCGCCCTTGAGCTGTGATATTGCCATCTTCAATTCCTTCGTCGTGAAAGGTGTGATCTGCTCTGGCTCTGAATCCACGGCTGGCGATGTGCAGCGAGCGTCAGAAGCGTACAATTGAGCATAGAAATCCGCGAACGTGTCCGCGATGCCCTGTCGCGTTGTCTGCTTTGTGCCATCGGTCCCGGTCATTTGAAGAATCAGCGTCTTCTTCCGCCTAGTTTTCGTGGAGCGTATGTGTTTCAGACCCTTGTACTGCTCCAGGATGGTGTTGATCCGATCTCTGCAGGAGTCCACTGTTTGCTGCAGGAGTCGTTGGTTGACGGCGGATGTCGAGATGAGCGCTTGGTATCTCCATTCGATTGTATTGGAAAACGAATGTGGAGTACCACGGCTTTGTGGTCCGAGTTGAGATCCGCTATGTTGGAGGCTTCGGCGTTGATGCACATAGGGAGTAGAGTTCTGTCTACAAGGATGTAATCATACTGCCGTGGCTTGCCTTTGGTCGTGGTGTATGTGATCTGCTTGTCAGGGGGTTTCCGGAAGAACGTATTCGCGATTGCGAGTTTCTGTTGTGTGACCCAATGTCGTAGCCATTGACCTCTGGAGTTCTCGTCGCCAAAGCCGTGGGGGCCCACAAAGCGAGAGGAGACGTCGTCGGAGGACGTCTGGTCGTCTTGCGGCCGTTCAACGATCCGCCGCTGTGCGCCAACCTGCGCGTTGAAGTCTGCGGCCAGGATGGTTCGTATTTTGCTGACGCGGGCTTCCTTGAGCACAGCGCCAATGCCATCATACATGTGTTGTATGTGTACATCAGTGTACCCAGTATGCGGGAAGTACGCTGAAATCAACTGTAAGCGAATTCGGCCTCTCTTGAGCGTCATCGTGGCCAATCTCGGAGTGATGGCCCGGAACTCCCGCATGTATCGGCCCCATCGCTTGTGCAGAAGGATGGCGACTCCGTGGCACCGGCTGTCGTTTCCAGATCCTGCAAAGGTATGCCCATCAGCTGTGATCCAAATTTCTTGTCGTGTTGTCCTCCAAGTTTCGTTAATGAGGATGGCGTCCCAATGGTATCCACCCACGTCGCGTAGAAGTTCTTCGATGCGGTCGTCGGACTCCATTGATCTCACATTCTTGTGTATGATGACGAGATGGTTGTTGCTGATGTCGTCGCTAGTTGCCGGTGGTGTCGGAGATGGCTGCCTGGAGAGAGTTGGCGGGTGAAGAAGGCATGCGGGAACATCGCCGTCGACATTGCTGTAGTCTGCCCTTCCTCCACCAGAGCTGCGGCAGAGTGGTCGGTGAGATTGCGGGTCTCGCACTGGTCGTTGGATGCCGAGCTCCGTCGTCGAAATAGTGCTGGATGGTATTGTTCCTGTGGGTTGATTCGCAGATCCTGCAGAAGCTCCGTGAAACCTGAGAGACGCCTTCGGGAAATCGCTGTCTATAGTGCTGTATTTTCCGCGTCCGCCGCCTCCTGTGGGAGGTGGGGCGGGGTAGGGACGAGAGTGGTGGGACGGGGAAGGGTCAGAAGACAAACTGGGGCACATGGAGTGTGATGGTTTGTCGTCCCCCTTGGCGCCGGACAGTCCGTCGTAGTCCAAATGGGAGGCTGGAGTCGGGAGCCGGATAGGAGGAGTCGGTGTGGGTGTGTCCAAATAGGAAGCTGGAGTCGGAGTGGGGGATGGGGAGGTACTGAATGATTTTGGGATGGGAGCTGGAGTCGGTGAGCGTCGCCGTTGTCGTCGTCACTCGATGTCGCGGTTCTTCCGCCATTGCTCCATGAACGTCATCACGTCCTGTTTGACTGCGTCTCCGTCCCCGTACGTCTCGAAGCTGCCGTCTCCCTTCACCTCAGCAACCTTGACGCCTTTCATCCTGATTACCCCCGTGTCCCAAAAGATGCGTATCGTTTTTTGTTCGAAGCCCTTGTTCATGAGGTGGTGTTTGATCTGACCCATTGTTTTGTCGATGATGCGTTTCTCGATCGTGTTATTACTCGTGAACCACATCTTCCTCCCACACTCCCACTTGGTCTCCCTCCCCCGCATTTTCTTGAGGAAGCCCCGCTTAGTAGAATCGTTTGTAAATTCCAATACCCCGATCTTCGCTGGGTCGATGAAGGTCGATATGTTCGCGATTTTGTCCTTCATGCCGTTCTTCTCCACCACGTCGCTGATCTGCTTCACGATGCGATCCTCGTCCTCCTCGTCCGTCAGGCCTCCCACGATGACCTGGAGCTCCCGGTCGTCATGTGGATGCTGGGGTTGCTGCGCCTGCTGATCATCTTTGTCTTTCAGAGCCTTCTCGATTCCGTCTTCCACCATGGCCTGCAGCTTGTCCTCGATTTCTTTTTTAGTCAAATACATCTCCTCAAGGTCGTTCCTGATTCCCTCCACGTCCATCTCCACCTCCTCCATCTTCTCCTGGGCCTCCTCTGCTGCCCTTCGTGCGTCCTGCGCCTCCATCCTCGCCTTGTCAATCATGTCTTTCATTCCGTTCAGGTCGGTCGTAATGCCTTCGATTTGCTTCGACAGGCGGGCATCGAAATCTTTAAACCACTGCGGGGGCGAAGCCGCAACAAATACTCCATCTCCTGACCCCCTGGCTGAATCGATTGCCGAATCTGCTCCACCATCGAGCTCCTCCTCTTTTTTCTTCTTCTGCTTCTCCGGCGTTGAGCCTGTAGGGCCACCGAGACGTTTGCCTTTCTCCTTACCCGACATACCTGCCCAGAATGGTGCGAACAGCGTGAGAGAAATTGGGAGTGTAGTAAAGGTGAGTCCGTAGGGGGAGTTGAGTATAGAGATGTTGGGGGAAAAGGTGGTGACGTGAACCCGGCCGGCTTGAGCCAACCGTGGGGCCGCTTCGAGGCCCGTCCGAAGGGTCCCAAAGCCCCAGATCCCAGGAGTCAGTTTTTGTTGGGGGGGACGGATTTTCCCCCGCCCAGGCTTGTACAAAGATAGGAAGAGGAATATAAACACACATACATACATGCAGACATACATACATACATGCATGCATGCAGGCAGGCAGACAGTCATGCATACATACATACATACATACATACATACATGCATCCACACATACATACATGCATACATGTATGCATACATGCATACATACATACTTACATACATACATACCTACATGCAACCACACACGTACATACATACATGCATTACATTACATTACATTACGTTACATTACATTACATCACATTACATTACATTACATTTCATTACATCGCATTACATTACATTCCACTACACTACATTACAGTACATTACACCATACATGCATACATACATACATACATACATACAAACATACATACATACATGCATGCATGCACACATACATACATACATGCATGCATGCATGCATGCATGCACACCTACCTACCTACCTACCTACCTATCTACATCCATCCATCCATCCATCCATTCATACATACATACATACCTCCATGTATACGTGCATGCATGCATGCATGCATGCATGCATGCATGCATGCATACACACATACATACATACATACATACATACATACATACATGCATACATACATACATACATACATACACACATACACACATACACACATACACACACATACATATATACATATATAAATGTGTATGCGTATGTGCGCAAATGTGTATTTGGATATGCATATATATATATGAATACTACGCATATATATTGTGTGTGTTCATAAATGTAGTTATCTCTCTTCTATACGCACCTATGTATGGGAGTCTGGGAACCTCGCCGTCTGGGGAAGTCTGGGGAACCTGGCCGTTCAAGTATGGGAGTATGGATGTTCAATATGTGGGAGTCTGGGGAACCTCGCCGTGACTGGGCGTCCCTGTTTCCCTGGGGTATGCCTAGGGGTAGGGCCTCGGGGTAAGCCGTGGAAGTATACATAAGGGTAGGGCCTAAGGGTGTAGGGTCATGTTAGCCAGTCGAGCGAGTTAAAGGGCTCCGACTACACCCACCCCCCCTCCCACATGAATTGGGGCGCAACTTGATCTTAGGATTGGGCCGTCCAGGGGCTTTGTCGAAACCCTTTGGGAGCCGTCCAGAGACTCTCTGGGTTTCTTCTGTGGTTTTTGTGGGGGAGACGGAGAGGACACGCAAGCAGGGAGGTTGACCACGACACAAGACGCAACTGAGCGCGTTTCAGGACGCATCCTCCAGAACACGCACTATGAGGAAACGGTGTAGGCTTTGAGGTAACACCCTGGGCTTTGGGGCCTCACGGAGGCCTCGTGAAGCCTCCTGGAGGCCTCCTCTTGCGCGCGAAGTGAGGGCGATGTCGGTTGGGGCGGGCCCCGGACAGCAAATCGGGCCCTCCTGCTGTTCCTCTGCCTCCATGTGTCGCGCTCCTCCCTCTACTCCCCCTTCTCCTCGTCCTACTCCTCCTTCTCCTCGAAAAAATTGTTTGGGAACCTGATGGGTTGCGGTGTGTTGGGCCCTCTTGGCAGGGTCTTGGCCCGCCTGTGAGCGAGCTGGAAATGAAACGAGGAGGGGCCCAGCGGTTGAGCAGGGGTTACGCTTCCATCCTCGTCTTCGGCCCCCTCATTCCGCCCGCCGTCCCCCTCATCCTCCTCATCCCCCTTCCCTTCCTCCATTTTGTCATCCTCGTTATCATCCTCATCCCCCGCATCCGCCTCCTCCTCCTCCTCCTCCTCCTCCTCCTCGTACTGGCTGCGAAGATCATGTTCCCCGAATGCAATCCGGGAACATGATGGTGTGGGCCGTGCTTAGTCCTTCGCGGAAGCCTTTCTTCTCCCATGTGTGAGCAATATGGGATGGAGGAAAGGACGGAAAGAGGGAACACCACCGCCTGAGTGGGGGGTGCGTTTTCATATTCGTCCTAGACGTTCTCATTCCTTTTCCCCCGTCTCTTTTCTGTCATCCGCACTCGCGTCATCCATTCTGTCTTCCTCATCATCGACCTCATCCCCTGGTCCGTTTTCAATATCCCCCCCTCCTCCTCCTCCTCCTCCTCCTCCTCCTCCTCCTCATCATAGTCCTTCTCCTCCTTGTGGACCTTCTCCCTCTCGGACTGGTGGCGACAATCACGTTCCAGGAAACCTCTCGGGGAACATGATGGCTGCGGCCGTGTTGCGGCCTTCGGGGGGGCATCTGTGGGGCCCTTACGGGGTGTCGAAACAAATTTTGGGGGCCGCCTTGGGACTCTGCGGTCGCCTGTGCAACCCTTTCGGGGTGTCCAAGCTCGTTTGGGGTACCGTCATGGCGCCTTGGCAATTTGGGCAGCCTCTTGGGCCGTCATGGCGCCCTGGCGGTTTGGTGCAATCTGGGAACGTTTTGGGCAATGTTGGAACGTCTGCCTGCGGAACAGACGACCAGACAATTCTTGAGAATCGCTTTGTGAATCGGCTATGTCTAACTTTTGTGTCTTTGTCGGAAGGCATCTTGGACCCCTGTTGAGGCGTCTTGAAGAACGCGGAGGCCGCTTCGGAACCAGAGTCACCGTCTGCGGGGCGTCTTAGAACCCTCTTGGCCCCCTGTACGACTCATTGGCTCCTCTGGGGAGCTGTCTGGGGGCCAGCTGGGCCATCTTGGCCGCCTCTTCGGCCACATTGGCGCCCTTTCGAGGTGCGCTCGGGCGGTTTTGAACGCCTGGTCGCCCGTCTCAGAGCGACGGGAGACGGAGCAGGCGGCAACGAGGAAATGAGCAGACTCAAAGCGACGGGGGCCGTCAGAGGGCCCCCTGGGCCCCCTTCAGAGCCCCCGGCCATCGCTCGGACGTCGATTCCCTGTGTTTCGGTTTCGTGCGTGGCTTTTTCGCCAAATGATCAAGGATGCTCCTCGATGGCCCTCGCCAAAGGAAGAATGCACACGTCCGAGCGATGCCAAGAGCCCTCTTGGCGCATATGAGCCCATTCGAGGGACCGCGCGGAGGACTACGGGGCCAGCGGGCCACCTCGGGGCATTTTTCGGCGCATCCGTGGGGCGCGCAGGGTTCTCTCGGGCGCCCCGCGGGCCGACTGGGAGCGTCAGGAAGAGGAGCAGGCGACAAGAAGAAATTCCTTGAACGACCTACAGGGCAAGGGAAAAAAGGGTGAAGAGGGCGAGGACGAGGAGGTCGAAGAGGGCGTGGACGGCGAGGGGGACCGAGCTGAGAAGAAGGAGGCTGCAGAGCAGAAGGCGTGAGAGGAGGCAGGGAAGGCTACGAGAAGGAGGGGGCACGGCAGGCTGAGTCGCAGGAGCAGCTGAAGACTCCGCGAAACGGGAGCACTGGACTCGAAGGACGGCTGCAGCCCAGTGAGCCAGAGGCCTGGCCTCATGTCTGGTTCTTCTGAAAAGCGTCCTGGGCGTGTTTTGTCGTTTTTCAAAACAAATTGTGCACTTTGGGCTCTTGGCAATCTCAAGACGCAACAAAAACGCGACGGCTGTTTTGCATTCTTAACTCCGTGGTTTTAGCGTTGTTAGGCCCGTCGCCATGGATCCTGCATTGTTTCACGTGCTTTGCTTTCTGGTCGAAGGCTGTTCCTTGTCATCCACGCCGGCTTCACTCTCATTGTTCGTTTCTGCCGCCGTTCTCCCGCGCAGCGCTAAAGACGGACAAATCGACCACAAAAACGCTCGAACCCCGTCTAAAACGGACCCTAAACAGGCCTGGGGGCCCGATGGCCATCGGGCCATCGGGCCTGCGGGCCGGATGCCCCAGGAAGGGCTCCGAGGACGGCGAGCAGTCGGACTGAGAGAGCCGGAGGGCTGAGGACTGCACGCCAGAAGAAGGAACTGAGGACGTCGTAGACAGCAATGTTAAACACTGCAACCAACTGATCCGAAGTCAATCAATTCGCCGGCCCGGCGGGCCAGAGGCGTGCTAAGATCTCCGGCAACACGTTAACAGTATTTCTAATTCGCGCGCGCGTGGCGGCCCCTGGGGACCCTTGGGCGAAAGTACCCCGGCCGATGCCCAACCGACTCCCTCAGGGCGCTCCAGGAGCGCGCCAAAAGGGCGCCAGGGCGCCCCCCGCACAACCCAAGAGGCCCCGAGTCGTAGAAAGATCAATCCAAGAATCCAAGACGATCAAGATGGTCTCCAGACGGCCCCAGAGGCTGCGAAAAATCCACCAAAGAGCCTCATAGGCTCTCCAAGGGGGCCCCAACAAGCAACATGATCGACCCACGAACCCGGAAAGGAAACTAGAAATGTAAGGCCAAAGATACATGATTGGGCGACGGGCAAATGAAATGCGGAGTACATCGATATTGATGTATCTGCTGATGCATCATCTGTGCGGTCGTCTCTCTTATCAGCAAACGGACATGCAACTGTCGTCTCGGTAATGGATCTCGACCTTCTGTCCGACACGGAGCATTGCGCCACGCACCCAAGAGACAACCGCAACAACAAATACTCAGACAGGCACCAAGGAACAATCCGACTAAGGCACCAGTGATAAAGATGCCCCACTTGAAGTAACTGGAGCCAATCGGCAGATCCTCGAGCGCACAGCGACTCGCATAATTGGCAGCGTTGGGTACAGCACCGGGCGCGACGGCAGAGAAACCTGCCTTGACAAACCCGAGCTGGTACATGCAGGGATGTGCGCAACTGTCTGGCTCCACTAGCCCGAGAAAAGCTTGAACCCCCGCGTCGACGGACGTCTTGATACCTGTGAAGCTCAAGCGGCGAAGCGTTTGCTCTGTCAAACTTGGGTAAATCCTGAAGTGTGCACGT